TATTATTATTATTATTATTATTATTATTATTATTATTATTATTATTATAATTATTATTATTAAATAAAATATAATTATGCCATGTTGTTGACTTAAATTGAGTACTTTTTTTTTTTTTTTGAGTTTTTGATTTTTTTAGAAAATCAGAAAATCTACATGTAAAATGATTTTATCCAATATGTTTTACTAAACAATAAATATTATTTTACAATTCTCTGTTAGAGCCACTTGTTATCAGTTGTGTTCATAATTTTATCATCTTAATTAATTTTACAATTTTTACTATATATTTTTATCATTTAGTTATGATGAGAATAATTTCCTAGTGTATTTTTAAATGTTTAAGAATTAAATTATTAAAATGTATGTATAAATAATAAAAAATAACAATTAAACTTTTGATATTTTCCATTTTCTCCATTGATTTTAAATTCATGGATTCCATCATATTTTGATTATTTTGGTTGTTTAAGGTTATCGCCAGTTTTTTTATTCATCATTAAAGGTTAAAAATATCTCAATTCAAAGAAAATTAATAATTTCTTTTAAACCTAATAATTATGATTAGTATTAAAAAAAAAAAAAAAATAATATTTCAGAATTTATGTGAATTGCCTTGTATTATAACTACTGTTTTGAAATAACTAAACACAGTTAACGCTCAGGAACTAAACATGAATATCGGCAAATAAAATACACCAAAATATATCTATACGTTTCAGAATATTCTTTATTTTATCTTTAATTTTGTGTGGTAAAAAATAAATTAACATAATACTTGACACTGTTCTCTAAAAAATAAAAATGTAATGTTATCTGTTAAAAACAATTTATATACTTTAAAATAATATCTTTTTGTTAAAATTCACTAGATTATGATGTACAAATTGATTGAAATAATAAATAACAATTGTATACAGTGCACAATACATTTAATAAATAAAATTAAAAAAAAATAAGTATTTATAGTAAAATTTAATAAGAATCACTGACAAAATTTGTATGGACCATCAGTCCTCATGGAAATGGTAAAAATACATAATCCTTATTACCAGATCACTTTTTGGAAATTCGACTTAGATAAATTATGTATGATAATTCTTCTTGGTATGATTATTTATATTTATCTACTACTTACAGATCTATATTCGCTATTCAAATGCTAAATACATTAATAATTATAATTAATAATTTTCCGATTAATGTAATTATATTCTTCAAATTACCTTTATAAGTTTGTGAATGTACACAACCATTTCGGAGTCTCTTTGAAACTCGGAATTCTCCAGTGCTTTCAAAACTTTATCACGGTGTAATTTTGTCATTACGTGTAACACAGTTTTGCATGTTTTCAGCGGAACATCCGACTGTTGATTTTTCCAATATGTTAAATCAAACATCTAATAATAAAAAAAGAAATAATACTAGTTAGCAAATGCTGATGATACTATGTTGTGAAAAAAAAGCTATTCATTATATTACTTACATTCAAGAATTTATGTACACGTGCTAACACTGGTTCACATCTTAATTCATTGCCCCATCGAGGGAAGTCTTTTACAATCTTCCATACACATTTCATTAGCAATTCTTTATGACTTGCTGTAGAGTTTTGTGGATATTTAACTGTGTCGTAGAGCATGGACAAGAGAGCACTGATAATCAATCATATTTTACTTTAATATTATGTTATATATTTTGATTTAATACTTAATGCAACTAAAGCTATTTATTCTATAAAGACATAATTTGGTGTCTAATGCTCTTTTGGAATATACATTTTCAGCACTAATAACAGTAAATATTATTATTATTATTTTAACCCTTATAAACCAAATATAAAATACTATAGTATTAATTAATATTATTAGTTACACATTTTAATGTTATACGCCATTTTGACAAATTATACACACTTATGAAAAGAATGGTTTTAATAACTCCTACATACCATATGATTGTAGTACGAGAAGATCTTTCCAAGATACACATAATGATACTGTTGGCGAATCGTCCAAACTGTTGTGTGCTGGAATTATTCTCTAGACTGGTTACACTCAGTATAAACAATAACTTTGTAAGCAAATCGCATAAAATTTGTTCATTCAAAGCTCCTATGAACTCTTGATACTTGCAAAGCTAAAAAAAATTTAGAATGGTATTTATCATTAGTTAACAAATGTTTATGTACAAGTTCCAAAACAATATTAATATTAATTTAGTCTGATGACTAAATTTAAGAGTTTAATGCTATTTTTAGTACAGTTTATATAAACATATTACCACCTAATGTTAATTACTTGAGTTGTGGAAATAGGCAAAATAAAACGTATTTGTTTACAAATGTAGTTTTTTCATTTTGTTATACTTACATTGAAACACAAATTGAACACATTTTTATAACAGATAGTGGTTACAATGCCATTAGATTCAAATAAAATATCAATTTGATTAATGATTGCATAAAAAAGCAATGATAATTTTCCTTCATTTAAAAACCTTGATCTTGCCTACAACAAATAAAATATAGAATTTTAATTTATCCGTAGAAATCATACTTGTAAATAATTATTGAAATTAATCGTACATTGGAACTCAAAAGCATTTCATCGAGTTTTGTTAGTGCTGTGTTTGAAGTTTCTATATTTTGTGATGTTACTTGATTAATTAACTGCTGAACTGGATCGAAAGATTTTGTTGCATTAATGGGACGTTTTGATATGGCTTTAGTACTGTACGGGTTTACATTTAAACATGGTTTGGTTGTCGGCATATTTTCCAATAATCTAATGAATAAATAAAATACTCCAATAGGTACCTACTGAAATAAAATAATAAAATAACACACTTTGTTTGATCTTGAGTCATTTTTCCAAAATTGATTTTATTATCCTCTGTAGGCCAATTGTAAGGTAATAATACTAATTGTGGTTTTGTTATTACTTCTGCTTCCAAGTCTACCATAAATTTCTCGTCTAATGTAAAACGAGTTGCTTGAGGAGATTTATGACCAACTTCACTTTTCGATCTGCTTATAATAAAATATAAAATTAATAAAGTATAAAATAAAATAATATTCAAATACACAATAATAGATCTTTAGTTCACTAAAATGTTACCATCACTATCTTAGTTCATTAAAAATTATCACTAGGTTGTTCAGTCGTAATTTTTCTATTTAGACTATTCTTGTTAATACCATTATTAATGTTTTGGTTTTAATTATAAATAATATCACACACAATTAATAGACAGACATATTTTTTTATTATATATATATATTGTTAATAGAACTGAATATAGTCAACTTCAATTAGTATGAACAATTAAAAATCATTTAAATAAAATATGACTGAAATAACTTTCATTACCTAAATCCCTTATCTACCAAATTTTCATCGGTATTTTCTGTTCTATCAGACTGATAAGTTTCTAATTCACAATTTGAATCATTAGAGGATTTTTGAGGACTATCTTCATGACTGGATTCCTGTGAAACAATACTCATCTCATGATGTTCTTCGTCAGCAGAAATATATTCATCATCATCATCATCAATGGCATTCTTTACATCAGGTATATCTTGAACAGGAGGTTCAACCGTTTTCATGGTTGGCTGAATGGTGGCTACAGGCACAATTCGATTTTTTGAAGCTCTTTTTAATCGTTCTTTCAAAAGACCCATATCCTTTGGAGGTATCTGTAATAGTATATTATCTATAGTATAAAATATATTTTGAAAAATATAAATAATATTAAATATTAGCAAAGCCTTAAGTACAACTTTACACAATAATACGTGTATTCTTACGCTGTTAACAAATTTTAATAGAGCTTCTCCGTGCACAAAGAATGCAGCAACAAAAAAATTTAATGCTGCTGTACGAACACCGTTATCTCTGTCTCCAATACTTTTCGCAATTTCTTTACATGCTACCGCAATACTAGGTTGACAAATTGATGTACCATAATCATCTACCATGTTAGTTAAATGATCCAAACATTCTATAATTAAACAACTATACAATTATTTACATATAAAATAAATTTATTTTAAATATTCACATAACATATATTATACATATACACTTACATCTTCTAATAATATCATGAATTACAATCATGTAAAACACTATACAAATTTAAATTTCTTAAACTTATCATCATTAAATAATAATGAACAAAATAATAAACGTTTTTAATTGTTCGGTTTCTATACTTTTTTATTAATTTAGGAAAAATGTCTAAATTTTTATAGTTCGACAACTATTACTAATTTTTTACAAGATATTTATAAATTATTTTAACTGACCTGAACGCTGTCTTGAGTTTTTTGATTTTACTCCATCCATAATATACTGAAACAATTTTGCATTTGGATATATGAATGCAATTTGTCTTAATATGGCTCGTACGTTATTTCTCACTGTATCCTTTGAATCACCCATCTAAACAGTGTCAATAAAATCAATCTTTTGAAAAAATACAACATTTGATAATAATAAAATAGAATGGTTTTTACTTACTTTTGTAACCAAGTATGGGACAAAACTTGAAGCTTCAGTATCGTGAAGAATATATTTTTTTACAATAAGAATATCAAATATGCGTTGCAAGTATTCTAGGCCTTTCAAAAGTACTGATGGATTAGTATCGAAAAATCTTAAGCTCAACCATTTCAATATCAAGTCAAGATTACTGATTAAAGCTAAATTATTATCATCTACTCTTGTCAAATCCTAATTACAAAACCAGAAATAAATTCAGTAAGTTAGACTAATTTTAATAACTATATTTAAAATAAAATTCATTTTTTAGTACCTCTGAAAGCAAACTAATGGCTTTGAGATGATATTTGAATTCTGAATGAAACATATTTGTAATAACATGCTTATTAACACCAGCTGTTAACATTTGATCTTTAAGTTGCTCAACAAATTCGTTTCGAGGTGAAGTAAAATTCCATTTCAAAGACTATTGAGAAATTGGAAAAATTTATATTTTATTATTCAGTAACAATAATGAGTTAAGAGTTGAGTTGTGATAACTTGAATATAGAGATAGATTAAAAATATGTTGAATTTTCGAACAGTTTTCAGTTGTGTAATAAATTTTAATATTAAATAATAAATAATATTAAGGAAAATATTTTTAATTGATTAAATAATATTAAGGATGAATGTGAAACCATATGTGTTCACTGGTCAATAAACAATACAAGAAAATTTGTCCAAATCAATTTTTTTTTGCATTGTAACCATTTCGTTTAAAAAAATTATGTAATTATCTTAAATTTTAGTTAAAACAAATATTATCTATAGAAATAAATACCTTTAATTTATGTTCATCAATATCACGTTGATGCTTTAAATTATTATGTTGAAACAACGGTATATTTTCATCTTCTTCTTTCTTTTTATCAATAGCAGTATTTACTTGCGGAATACCATTTTCCTGGATGAATATAAAAATGATGTACTCCATTAAAGTTGTAAAAAATCGAAGAAATTAATTAAATATTGTTTACTTTAGTATTAGCTTTTGAAATAATCTTTGGTCCTTTTGATTTTATAGAACCTGCATGACCATTCGATTTTACAACTTTATGGTTTTCAATTATTGGTGAAGCTGGTAAGTTAGGTCTTATTTCATCTAATTTTTCTCTGCAAAACTTGACTGACATGGAGGACTGTAAAAATATTAATATTTAAAATAAAATATATCATTAAAATATAAAAATAACACCTTTAATTTTTCACAATCCTGATACATAGTAAGATAACCAATATTCTTCATAAACCCAATTATAGCTGATTCAGCATTATTACGAACACTTCCATTTCTATCTTCAAGATTTGAGTAAAGAACTGGTAGCAAACATTTTAAATCATCAGCTGGAATTGTCCTAGGAGAAACTAGGTATCCAAATAATACAACATTAAAAACTTAAACTGTTAAATATTATCAAGCAATTTAAGTCTTACTAAGAGGTAGTTTTTCTGCAAGCCACATCCATAACTCTGATCGTAGTGTAACGGAATTATTTTTCAATGCTTCTAAAAGTATATCACTTCCAAAAAATTCTCGATAACCACATACATCTGCCCAAGTATTCATACATTGGCGAGCACTTTGACATTTAAATGTCTAAAATATTTTCAATATATTAATTTAAATATAGTTAAACATTTTTTAGAATAATATTCATGTATAAATATATTTTATTGTACCTTTGGATCACCTAATGCGGTTAACACACCAGGTAAATATAGTTTTATATAACTTTTAAAAGATGATCCCATAGCTATTGATATTAATTCCAACAAATTAATTGTATTCGAACTAAGGCGAGCGTTTGAATCACTTATCCTAGTAAGTAAATTATAATACAAATGTATAGTAAACAAATACTAAAATATGAATTATTTGTACCTCTCTTTCAGAGCTTCTCTAGCTCCACCCAAATCGCTAGTAATAAATTTGGCCTCAGCAATTATATTTTGAAATTTGGTTAAAGCATTAGAACGAACCTGTTGTAAAATTAATTAAAAATTGTATTTTATATATTTATGTATTTTGTTCCATTACTTTCCAATCTCTGTCTAAAAATTCGTTAATCAATGCATCAGTTATATAAGGAGTTATATCTTTTCTTGGTACAATGTCTTGTATATTAATTTTATTAACTGGTTCATCATCGCTGGACATTTCTAAATTTTCAGTAGATCCTTTTGTTTTATTTCCACGGATCGGTTTGGGAGGAACTTTTCCTTGATGCTGTTGAATACAAACATACAACTATGAGCATATCATACACCCTCCTCTTAATGAATTTTGTATAAATTTAGTAAATTATTGATAAAAATATAAAAGCATTTTTATAATTTTTAAAAAATGTCCCATAATAGGTAGTTCCAATGCAAAATTATTTAAAAAAATCGTTTAACACTCATGTCATTCAAATATAATTTTAAATGAAAAATCAAATTTTTAAACGATATACTGGCCATTATATTGTTATTTATTTAATATTTTCTAGCATAAATATGTAACATTTAAAATCATACTTAAAAAATATTAGTTTTTTATTAAAATATCAACATCCAATTAAAGAATATTCATATTGTATGTAAGTTTGATTTCTAAATTATGACTTAAATTTGAATGGAATAAATAAATGTGAAGCAATTTTTTTTCTATTTATAATATTTTTTAATGATATATTACAATATCATAATACCTTTTCAAATTCTGCAGTTATTTGTTGTACTAAAATTGGTTTTTCGTTTTCAAAAAATAACATTAACTGAGATCCCATGTAGAGATATAAAACACCCAGAACAGAGATAGCAGCAATTCTAACTAGTGAGTTAGAAGCACTCACAGCTTTTTTGATATGTTGTATTAATGATTTAGGTTCTATACTAAAACACGAACATATTGAATTATTTTATAACACTGATGGACACAATAAATCTATTAAACACAATTTTTATAAAATAAATATGTCTAATATAAATATCATTACAAATATAAGACTGGCTGCATATAACATTTTCTTATTTGTTATTTAATTATATGTACTACTAAATAAAGTTAAGTTAATAATTTTAAATAATAAACTAACATAAATCCAAACTCTAAGATAGCACCTGAAACCCAATTCAAGGCATCAACCTGGACTTTTGGAATCTTCTGTTCAGTGAATGCATACATTAACACTGTATTAGAGATCAAATCTAGTCTAGTGACTTCAGCAAGAGCAGTTAATATTTGACATGCTAAATTATTATTTTTACTATCACCCAACAGGGAAGCAACGTCTTGAATACAGCAATCCATGTAACAACTATAGATATTTAATAATGAGAAAAAATAAATAAAAGATTTTGTAACCCTAGAATAAATACCTGGAAATAGGAAATTTTTCAATAATTTTTTTTAAACACTCAAGTCTCAAATGTTGTGTTTGTACATTATTATCTCTAATACCAGGTTTTTTGTTTAATAGTTTTATTAATACTTGACCACTAATGGCAGCTGAATCCATTTGATCAACTATCTACAATTATTGAAATAATTATTGTATACCTATATAATATATATAAAATGAAAAATAAAGTCCCTGGCAAATTGACATACCTCAGAAAATGCTTGAACATTTAATAAACGAGTTTTCCAATTTGTATCAATCATACCATTTAATATTTCAGGAGAACAGAATGTTAAAGCTAAATTTTCCAATTCATCGTCACCAATTTCTCTACTAAAATTAGTCGTAGTACAACCTTTTAATGGAAACCCTTTACGGCCATCTGCGATGCATATTATATATTAATAATAATCAAATTTGAAATACATTAAATGTAAAGTTCAATATATATACCCGATGCACCCGTAGGTTTTTTGAATTTACTTTTATTAGCAATAGTTTTTCTAGAAACATTTATAGTGGTATGATTTTTTTTAACAACTGCATTTTTATTAGTTGCTGGTACTTTTTTTTCTACATTACTCGGTAAAATACTAACAGGTTTTGTTTCCGGTTTTATCTCACTTAACGGTTTGGAAGTAATAACTGCATTATCTGCTGCTTCTTTAATCTAAAAATAACATTTATTAATAAACTTATAACGTGTATCAGTAGACTAATTTTGATTATATAAAATACCTTTGCAAGTTTTATTGCATCAACACTGGTCAACAATGAAATAATATTTTTTTCTGATACAACCTTCCAAGCAATACCAAGTGCTTCAGCTGAATTATCTCGAACAATTGGATCTTAAGAATAAAATTAATATCAATCAAAATCGAAACTTCAAAAATCTTTATAATAAAATAATATTTATATTTAAAGAAACTAATTAATTATAGTGATCAAAAAAACCTTATGCAATATGTTTACATGTTGTATAATAATAACACACAACAGTAACATAATTAATTAACTGTAAATATTGTTAATTTACCTAATCTATGAAAAATATAAAACTGATCCATAAAATTTGTCTTAAAATATTAAGTTATACAAATTAAAATTAATTACAAATAAAAAATTACCAGATTCAGTTAATGTTTTTATTAGCTTTGTAGTAAAAATGTTCAACATTTTTTTATTTAAATCTGTTGATGTACATTTTTTAAAGCATCGAGCTAAAAATGAAACTGATTCAGCTCTAATGGTTGGATTCTTGTTATCTAGTGCTTTTAAAATATCTTCATGAATAGATTCAAGTGTTATCTGGAATAGTTAAGAATGATTAAGTTGATATTAAATAAATAATAAATAATTCATATTTTATTTACATTTAAATAAATTGCATCAACGGCATTACGTAGGGCCAAAACCACAATTTGTTTTTTTTCCTTAAATTTCTCTAATAAAATTGGTATGCAAGCAGAAGCATGAACTTCAAATTGTTTTTTTAATCCATTAGCTACCATTGTCAAACATTTGATAGCAATACTAACTATTACTACATTTGTATCTTTTGTAATTATCTATTAAGAAATAAAATTATGAATATATTTTTAAATAATTTGATTTACTTTCAAAAAATCTGAATATATTTTAAAATTAAAAACTTAAAATATAACTTCTTACGGTCTTTAAAGCTCTCACTAAATCTCTATAATCTCCATTTTCTAATTTTAGAGAATTAGCTAATATTCCTTCAAGTTTATCAATACCTTCTTTGCGTTCTTGCCATTTTTTAGATTCAAGCTTTTCATAAAAATTATTATCAAGCTGGCAAAGTATGTTGATTGGATCAATATGATCTTCAGGATCATAAATATCTTCAATACTTTTATCCAACATCACGTCTATCATATAATAAATTTTATTAATTTAAATTAGAAACGGTTAGTTTGTATATTTACTTCCATTAGCAGCTTCTATTTTTTCCATTTTAGCAGCTTGTTTTTTATGAGAAAGCAAGAAACGTGTTGGTTGACGTTTATGATCACATTGTTTTTCAAATTCTACTTTTAATTCTTGAATCTAATTAAAATATTTGTATTAAATATTTACTTGCAGTATGTGATTATTTATTTTTACTTGTGAGGGTTTTAAATTGGGTAAATTAACTTTAAGAGGGATAGGTCCAATCCATGAATATATTTCTATGGCTAACAATTTTGCTTCTTCTCTAACAGTTTTATCTCTATCTTCAAGAATGAATTGTAATTTTTTTAATAGTGGCTTAATATTCAATACATTTGATCCAAATTCCCTAAAGTAGTTATAAATATTCAAAATGAATGAGTCTTACAACTAATAACTTATTATAGTTTATATATACTGTAATATTAATTACATTTTTTTTAGTAGATTAACCATAAAATATAACTTTTTAGATTTACTTTATTGCTTGTGTAGCAGCTCTAATACAAGTTGAAATAATTTTAGGAAATTTATGATCCATTCCTTTTACTAGTTCTTCTATTACAACATCTTGTTTCTCAATTTCAATAAACATTAATGTAATTTTAATCGCTATATCTTTAGTTTTCACTTTTGGAGCTCCATAACATTTTGTTATCAATCCAACCATCATATCTCCAGCCGTTCTATAAAAAAAATGTAAATAAAATACAAAATTTTTTAAAATAAAGATAATACTCAGCCAACCGTCCAGCAATTGCAGCACTTTCTACAAAAACCAATGCTGCTTCTAGACCTTTTTCTTGAGCAATCGCATTACTATCAATAACAAATTTTTTTATAATTTCTGAAAATTTATCCCATTCAGGAGCTCTTTCATCTAATTGTCTAAATAATTTAATAGCTTCTTCATAACCATTTATTCTGGCTTTCCACGACTTAAAAAATAATAAACAAACAATATTTTGTTACAACTACAATATTATTATTAGAAAAAATTAAAAATGTATTGGGGCAGTATAGGTGTATAAAACTATAAATAATTTGATACATAAAAATACTAGTTACTCTTATAAGTATTCATCAATAACGTATTTTATTTGTCATTGGAAAGTAGGTATGTATATGCTGATTATGCATATAGTCAATCCTATAATAAATAATTTATATCAGTTCTCAGAAAAAAATTACTTGGTGAATACATTGGTTTTCAATGGACAATTTTGTGTAAGAAGTGTCTTCCATAATTGTAATTTCTGAATAAAATATAGAAAATAAAAAGAATCCAATAGATTTATTCCATAATGGTAGATGAATGTGCTGAAATAAAATGTATATTATAATTTGTTAATATTTTTAAAATTACCATTTTCAATTTTGAATTAATAGTTAAATTAATAGCAAAATAAACTTACTATTCTAAATAACTATATTAATGAACAGTTTTAAACCAATTAATTATACGAAATATTATTCCACTATTTACATCATACAGTTATAATCACAAAACTAAAAAAAATCCAAGAACTCTGTAAGAACTTGGTTGGTCACTAGGAATTCAAAAAAAAATAAAAAATAAATAATAAAATAGTTAAATAAAACTAATATTTGTAAATTATTATATAAATAAATAGTTTATATATAAAAATAAATAAATAAATGCTTAGTCTGGAATATTATATTTGTTATGTACGACCGGTTTCAAATTAATAATTCATCATCAAATATAGACTAAGTCAAAAAAATCGTGGTTCTTTTAAAATAAGATGAAACAAATATTGTTATTTTTTTTATTGTAAGTTTCTTGAAGTTCCAAAAATTATGCGTAGTGGCTAAAGGGCTTCAAAATTAAAATGTTTAATAAAATTTAATGCTTCATTGGTAAAATACATTTTTATTCATGCAACTTCTCTAGTTTCAATACCATAGTCGTGACTTGTTATCTGATTTCTCTACACAAAATAAAAACGTGAACTATAGTCCTAATATCATATAGTGTACAAGAAAATCATAATATGATACTGCTACGTCAATAGGTCATTTATGAATAACTCTGCCTAGTGACATAGCCAGAAATATATTTTGAGGGGTTTTAAATTTTTAATTATCTTCTACATATATAATTATACTTTTTAATTTTAATAAGTCGGTTAAACATAAGTTAAAATATAAAATGTGTTATTATTTAGTTTATTGAAACTGTAATAACTGTTTAATGATAACATGACACAAAATTTTACATATATATTTATGTTTTAAAATGATTGTAAATTTTTAAAATAGGAAAGACATTTCGGAGGGAAGGTTATGGCCCGTTAACCCTCCCACTGGCTACACCACTATTACCGTCAAAATTACAATTTTTGAGCATTAAAAAATTAAATAACGAATTTATAAAAATATCACGATCACTTTTAAAATGTATTTAAAATATATAACAAATCAGCCATTTTTACTCGTCAACTTTTTCTTAAAATAAATAATTAATAATATAATAAAAATTGTATTACATCATATTATTATTACATTATTAATATAACTGTATATATTTCTAGTAAACTATTTCTTTTTTTCTATACTCAATAATATATGGGTGGACTATAGAATCATATGAAACACAGGGTCATATTTAGACCTTGATGAGAAGGAAAATGAACTATCATTAAAAATAATTCAAATTGGTCAGTATTAATGACTAAAGTACTATCGACCAGTGATCACTGATCAGAAAGCGATATTTATAAATACAATTTTAATTAAAGTTGAGCAAGCCTGGTATCATTAGCCTGATATCAATCGTATTTCCATATATTTAATGTCAACCGGGGTTAAACACATAACAATCATGTACATACATGTGAAAATCACCAATCCTGCAGTGAGTATCACGATAGATCTTTAATCGTGATGAGTACTCATTTATCAGTTATCAATGACGTGATACAAGTTACGAGTATGTATAATACGATTGTACAAGTATGCTATATTAACACATTTATAAACACCTTATTCTCCCCTTTACTCAATAAATCTTGGCTACATTAATTGTCTGCGGTAATAGTTGAATAGTGAGTTTAGCCATTGTGTGAGTAGCAGAAATCAGTAAGGGAGGAATATTGATGATTTTCGAAAACCTATATTACACAAAAATTGATGAATATGTAAACTATTACCAATTGTATTTATTATTTTTATGTATTCAATGCAAGGTTTATTAATTATAAATTATTTTATATTTTTATTTATAATCCATACACTTTGTATACAACGCACTATATACAAAAAAAAAATAAAAAAATAGTACGTTGAATAAAAATTTTAATAAAATTTACAAGTAAACATATATAAAGTAATGACATTCAAGAACGGTTCGAGTATATTTAATATTATTATTATTATTATTATTACATATATTATTACTACGCAAAAGTTTTTAAAAACTTAATAAGTTTCGGAATCATTAAAATTTCCTTTACTCGTGACAAAGATAAACAAAAATATTCCAAAATCATCTGTAGGTAATTTTTTTTTTTGTCTGATAACGGTTTGGATCATAAATGTGTAACTTGTAAAGTTTTGAACTACTTACCAACTGAGAAGCAAAACTATGGTCTGTAAGTATATAATCAGGGTCAGTTTAATTCATATTATTTAAAATTATAATTATTTACATTGTGAAGTCGTAAATCGATAGTTATTAAAATTCATGAATCATAAAATCAGCGTTTAAGATAAAATAACACACTAAATGTACGTTGTTTAAATAACTATTACACGTGAAATATTTGAGGTTTAAACGTTACATAACCGCACAGAATTTGTAACAATTTTTAAAAATATGAAATTAAGACTTACCACCTCAAGCAGCTGTGAGCACCACGATTAAACATAGATATTATATATCTTCAATTATAGTTAGCACATATATTTTTATTCATTCGTGGGTTATTTAGTATCAACAAAACAAGATTTAAAAGTAGTTTGATATCTAGTTATCTGAATCCGTGAAGACATCGCCAATGAAATAAACTACAATAACGCAATGTACTGCCAGCGATAACGAAAATATTTCCCAATCAGTCTAAAATTATTTAATTTATATATAAATTAAATATGGATTATATTATTTATATATTCCAAGTTAGTATCTACGTTTTTGCATTGATTCTAAAAATTTTCAAAATCAACAGTTCTCATTGAATTACAATTAATTGCTAAAAGTTAATTAATTATACTTGTAATCTATAATTAATACAAAATCGTTTCCAATGTTCGAAGATCAAACATTTTTGTTATGCCTACTCCACATTACATCGTCTCAATATTATATTTTTGTGAATTTAGTTCTGATTTAGTTTTAATATATAAATTAGGTAAACTAAACAATTAAAATTCACTTATTAATTAATATTTTATCGAATTTGTTAATGTAATGTTTTATTCAAATAAAGTGTACTTATTTTATTAATTAATTATATACAGAAACGTATTTAGGGAGAAGGGGTCTCAAATACGACTATCAGGCACCAGAAAACCTCTTTTAAGTTTATTTTTATTATTTAAGAATTCAACTTTTGGAAATTGTTTGCTATTTCATAATTTTTTTGAAAGTTGTCATTGATTTTATATAGTATAGCTGTAAATTAATTTTGTTTATTATTGGCCATCCTATAGATATTTTATATTATAGTGTTCAGTATTAATTAGTACTTCATGTGATGTATGTTCACTGCACTTAACATTTTTTGAATTTGGTTGTGGGCAGCAAGCTATCATTTTATAAGAGCTATTGTAGGTCTTATCAAATTAATTATGTTAAAAACTGTATTGGGACAATATCTTCAGTCATAAAATTTTCAAAGTTTCATCACAAAGAACATTAATTGAATATATTAATAAGAATTTACCCCAAAATCGAAAAAAAAAACTTTTTTAATTAATGCGTTTTTATAATGTTATTCTGTCAAACTTTGAAACATTTGACGTAGAAATTAAACTATGGTAAATTAAATGGAGAAGTATAGTATACCAGAGACAGCATATCCAACTTCATCATTTATTACTTTGTCTTATATTTCCATTAATTGTTTTCCAAACATCAGTCTTTTGACCATTTTAACTACATTATCCGTCACAATCACTACAGTTGAGCGTTCGTTCTCAACATTATGAAGGCTCAAAACATATTTACGAAACAATATGGGACAAGATTTACTGGATAAGCTTTACTAAACATAAAACGAAGTCACGATATTAACGTCGAAAAGATTATTAATAGTTCCTAGATTACTGCGAAAGTGAGATTTTATACTTTAATATATCTAAATTATAACATTGTAATTTTGTAAACAAAGATATTTTTTAGTTACGTTATTTAGTTTTTATATTACGTAAATAAATTGCTATTTTAAATTAAATTTAAATTTAAATTTTTATTATGAACAATGAACCCCAAAATATTTTTTGTGTACGTGTCCTGGTTATATCATCACGCACTGACCTGCTAGACCTACTAGACTTAAGACAACAGTTCACAGTGTCTGTAGTAACGAGACTTTCACAATCGAAAGAATTATACGAATCAGGGGCGGACTATCCAAGGAGACAAAGAGGCGATCGCCTCGTAGGCCGGGCGCATGTAAACTCCGCCAGAAAAAAAAAACCGATAATATTGGGTTCATGTAAACTCCGCCAGTGAAGAAAATCAAGTAGTAGTATAAAATTAATATAATAGATTATTAAAAAAAAAATTATAGTATAATATCATATCATATCGTTCAAATTAAATATTTAAATCGTAGTAAAAAAATCGTAATTAATAATCGTTATACCTAATAATATAAAATCATATTTTTAATAATAATAATTAAAAATCGTCCACATTAAATATTTTAATCACAGTTAAAAAAAAAAAATCATAAAAAATAATCGTTATACCTAATAATTCAATAACATTTAGTAATGTCATTTATATAAACTAAAATAATGTGATATAATTTGTAAATATTCTAAGTCTTGTATAACTCCATTAGTGTACCTATTTATAGCATCCTGTAATACTGTCATTTTTTTTTTTTTATTTCGAATTTTTTACCTTATTTACTTGAGATATGCCATTTAAACTTAAAAAACTTAGTAAAAACTTTACAAAAAATATGAACATTCGGTTGACTTTTATAAAATGAATTTCTTAGATGATTATGAAAGGATTCACAGATAAAACACAAAAAACTGGCGGAGTTTACAATCGTCCCTTGGGCCCTCAATAATGTCATATTAATTACCTACCCGTTTACAAAATGTAATATTAAATTATAATATTAAAACACCAATCATTTACTATTAAAATATCCGAATTTGGATGAATTGTGCACAGATAACTAAAAATATTTATTAATTAAAATGTAATTATAATAGGTACACTTGACCCAAATTGATGTATAATTTAATATTTCGGGAGACTTGAGCCTGGAAGCCACCTGGCTATGGTACTAGTCGTAATACGAATGCGAATAAATTTTAAATAACCTATATTTATGAAAACTACTATTTACGTTAAACCGAAATACTTGAACTATTTAAATTATTGTATTCTAAAAACTCTAGTATTTTATGTATGTATTAAGATTTTTTTTTTTTATAAACAAATAACTGTTCAGGTGCATTATTGGATTAAATATGTCCATGATCCTCGCAAACCAAACTCAATTTTCTAAACAGATTTTTCACTTGTTTTTTTTCAGTACTGCTATTATTTATTGTTTTACGAACAATAATTTTTTTTGTATAATCTACCCAAGTGCAAAGGTACTTAATATAAATATTTCTCGGTTACATCGTAATTTGATCCTGTTCGCAATAATCGCTAACTGTATAAATTAATTGATGCATACCATACTTACATGGTGAATTTGTTTTAATCCGGTTGTTACATGGCTATGGATAGTAAAGCACGTTGTGTGGCCCATGCCTGCATGCACTGAACCATAAATGATATTGTCTTACCAACACATCATATTATTTTCGGGTTGTAGTTCAGCGATTCCCAAACTTTTTTAATTACTTTTTTTTAAGTAGTATTTTGAAGCCTTAAGAAATATTTAGTATTAATCTGTATTTGCCTGTGTTCTATAAATCATATTACACATGGTATGTATTTATATAGGAGGAAACTCAAAACGAGTACCTTTAAACGAGTGACTTTATATATACATAATATATGTGGTCGGAAATAACTGGAATGGGAATGCGTATTATCTGAAATGAAAAAATTATATGTTCCTATAAAGAATTTAATATTGTTTGTATACGTATCGGTGAATTATATTTGAGTTGTTGAAGTCTTGTAAAAATATATACGCTCATTATTTTAAATAACGATCAATAATTATTACATTATTACGATTTCTATGATAAAACGAAAGGGGCCCTTGAGGAAAAATTACGGAGACCTAAGGGCTCTGTGGAGCACAGTTTAGAAACCACTATTATAATTTGTCCTGTAACTGTATTAAAAATAAAGTAAAATAGTGAATCGCTAACTAATCGCTAACTTATTAGATGGCCGATGGATTGAATACAAAAACAGCACTGATTCGGTATACCCCAAATAAAAATCGCTTTTAAGTATTTTTTTTTAAAAAAATATGTACTGTAATGACTATCAATCAGCGTGTTTTAACGCTAACATATCCATTAGCTAGCTCAGTTAAAGTATAATTATGAATTATTACGTATAAATAGGTATACAAGTTTTTTGCCGATATTTATTAGTTAATACTTATTGCTTAAATTAACACGATAAATTAATTTGATCAATTCATTTTTTAGAAAATACATAAGTTATGAAATTCGATCAATACTGTTAATTTATTTAAAATGTTAGCAAAATGCTTTAAAAATAGGATAAAATAGACAATAAATATTTAATAATAATAATAAATTAAAGTGAAAATAGCAATTTATTATATCAGTGAAAAAATAAATATTTGAAAAATAAATGTTAAGTGTAAAAACGTATAAATATTAGTAACGTTATATTTTATTTGCATTTATGTATACTTAAATTGTGTACATATAATACTTTTATGTACACATTAAGTAAATAATTAAGACTAAATTAAAGCAAAATGATTTCAATAAATCAAATAAAACATCAATTTTGTATGAAAATAATACCGGTTTATATCTTCACTATTTTATGTATAAAGTACATATAAATACCTAATAGAATAAAATGCAAGAAAAAAATTGTCTTGATTTTTCGGTAATTTATTTTTAAATCCCATCGGATAAAAAAAAAACATTTATCATTTGGCGTAAAAGATAGAACGCGAATTATTTTAAAACCGCTATTTTAAATCTTAAATTAAAGAATGTCGTATACAATTTTTAAGATATAATTGGTTACATGGATTTTCGTTATATAAATATTCTTTCTTGGAATGCCGTTATTCTAGTTTTAAATTATAATGTACATTATAGATCAAGCATTCTTCTAGGATTAGCTTAATATTGATTGATCTAATATAGTACAATTATCTAAATCTCTTTAAATTTATGCATTTAAAAAAAATATATAGAAACTGAATACTTAGCTTCTAAGTTAAAATATTATATTCATACATTTTTTTAAACAAATGTAGTTTTAATACATGCGCATATTTTTAATCTGTAATTACATATTCGTTGAAAAAAACAATTACAT